AATGCCAGACCACATTCTGCAGCAATCACAACATCATGGCTACGTAGGAGAAGGATCCGGGTACTGAAATGGCCAGCCTGCAGTCCAGATCTTTCACCTACAGAGAACATTTGGCGCATCATAAAGAAGAAGGTGTGACAAAGAAGGCCCAAGACGATTGAACAGTTAGAGGCCTGTATTAGACATGAATGGGAGAGCATTCCTATTTCTAAACTTGAGAAACTGGTCTCCTCTGTCCCAGACGTCTGTTGAGTGTTGTAAGAAGAAGGGGGGATGCCACACAGTGGTAAAAATGGACTTGTCCCAACTTTTTTGGGATTTGTTGACGCCATGAAATTTGGAAACAGATTTTTCCCTTAAAATGATACATTCTCTCAGTTTAAACTTTTGATCTGTGATTTGTGTTCTATTCTGAATAAAATATTAGATGTTGCCACCTCCACATCATTGCATTCAGTTTTTATTCACAACTTGTTTAGTGTCCCAACTTTTTTGGAATCCATTTTGTATGCTAAAACGTAAACACTACAGATTTGTTTTGTATTAAAAAAACAACAACTCAAAAATAGTTTTAAAATAAGTATCTGAACACATTTTCACATATAAATCTAATGTTATTTTACTTTTATTTGTGCACATCAGAAATTTTCAGATGACTAAAGATTTAAATTATTATGAAAATGAGACACTGAGTCTTGAAATACTTAGATATTTTCTGGTTCTTCTGTTTACAAAGCCACAATCTAAAGTTGTTGTTTTTTGTCTAATCATCTTTTCGTCTTGAGCTGCCCTGGTCATTTACAGAATTGGTTGCATCAGTGACTAAAATACAAACATTAAATGTAACAAAGTCCATGCTCAATAATCCAGGTATAAAATCCAACATTTTGGATTTTATACCTGGATTATTGAGCATGGACTTTGTTGTTTTCAACCAGTTTGACACGACTGTCAACAAGGAAGAGGGCCGGCAATGGAGGAGGGGGCGTACCAAACAGACCATCTTATCACAAGCAGAACTGGTTTGTTCCACTTTGGAGTAAGCTGTTGGAGGAAGAATAAGTTTTGTTGTGCGTTTCCTTGACTGATGAAGCCTTCCGGATCGAAGGCGAAACGTTTCAGCACAAAAAAAAAGAAATTGTCCAGATGATCTGACTGAAAAATGTTAGAAACATTAAATGTGTCTGAGTATTATTCCTAAAGTAAAACTAAAAGTATGGGCTGCTGTGCACTTAATAATAAAAACACAACAAAAAAAACACTTTCAAAAGTGTTTTTTTTTTATTATTCTGTACACCAGGAAAGCAAACGTTTTTTTTTTCTTTTCATTTTAAGGCTTTCCTCCACAGAAACCGTGAATACTGGGAAATATTTGGCATGAACATGAAAAAAGAAGCAGTGAGTTTCTGTGTTGTTGGCAGTTCGAGGATGAAAATATTGAAATCGGGCTGCGTACATTTATTTTATTTTTTTTAAGACGGCAGATCTCTCTGTGGGAGTGCAACACAGTGAAGTTGTCTTTGTGTCTTCAGCCTTAAAAGAATAAGAAGCTTAAAAAGAGGCACTTCGTCTTCTCGGCTCCGTCAGCCAGCTCTTATACGAACACGCAGAAAAGAAACACGTAAGTACAGGGTTGTCTCTTAAAAGAAGTGATGAACTCGCGTTTCAAAGTTGGATCATGTGAAACAAATGTTTTAAACTGGTTTAAAGACTTTTCTTTTTATTACAGTACTGAAAACCTGAAGTTATGTTGAAGTAAATCGTGGTTGTCCGTGTCTGGTTGGTGCCTTTTAACAACAAAGTTAGAAGTGAAAACACATTTCTGTGATATGACTTTTTTTTTTTTTTCCATTTTTATATCCATTATCAATTAATGACTTTTCACCTTTAGAGGATTTAGATGTGAGAAAAGGAATTAAGGATGCACAAACTTGTAAATGGATTAAAGCAGAGCTGTAATATTTTTGATTAAATTATCCTTAATTTTTAAAAAATAAAAACAATGTATTTTTACAGAAATTGAAAACGAATTGTAAATATGAAATGTTTAGTGTTTTAACATGACATGAAAGCTCATGCTCAATAAACCAGGTAAAAAAAAAAATCCAACAAAGTTCAGACAGGTCAATATTTGTTGAGGCGTTCCGTCCATCATCCAAAGGACTTCATCAGTCCGAGAAGCCACAACACACTCAGTTCCACAAGCAGCAAACCCACATAGTGAACTAAACAGTTTGTTGGTGATGAGATGGTTTCTGGGGCCCGCCCTCTCCCCTGTCAACTCCTATGAGGCAGCCATGATGGATATCATCTTATGATGAAGTCCTTTGGATGAAATATCTCAACAAATAAAAGAAACCAGCCAGATAACTTGACTGAACTTAGTTGGATTTTCTACCTGGATTATTGAGCATGAACTTTGATGTTTTGAACCACTTTGGCTATGGCTGCCTCAGACGAGTCGACGGTGGAGAGGGCAGGCCCCAGAAACCATCTTATAAACTGCAAAACTGGTTGGTCCACTATGTGAGTGTGCTGCTTGTGGAACTCTGTTGTGGCTCCTCGGACTGATGAAGTCCTTTTGACTAAGGATGAAACGTCTCAACATGAAAAGAAACCATCCAGATGACCTAACTGAACTTTGTTGGATTTTTTTCACCTGGATTATTGAGCATGGACTTGGATGTTTTGAACCACTTTGTCTAAGGTTGCCTCAGAGGAGTCGACGGGGGAGAGGGCGGGCCCCAGAAACCATCTTATCACCAGCAAACTGGTAGGTTCACTATATGAGTTTGCTGCTTGTGGAACTCCCATTTGTTGTGGCTCCTAGGACTGATGAAGTCCTTTGGATGAAGGACGAAACATCTCAACAACAAAAAAAAAAAGAAACCGTCCAAACGACCTGACTGAACTTTGTTAGATTTTTACATGACCTTTTTCAGGTTATGTTTTTATGTTCCTACAATATACATTTTTGTCATTACAAGACGTTTTCATGTTACACACATTTCTCACACATTAAATTTTATACACCTGAAGCTGTTATGAAATAAACTATATTGTAATTTTTTTTTTAAGCCGGTATGTATCTGAGCTGAGAGCGAGACAAACAGCTGTCCTGAGGGAGTCTCCAATTGTTCATGACAGCTCTCAATTTCTTTCCGTGACTCACAGAGCCACATTCATGTCCCTACAAATTTTAACAAGTTCGGTAAATTTTCTCTCAAAATAGTCTCAAACTTGTTGCGGATATCAGAATCAGAATAAACTTTATTGGCATTGCACTGAGATACAACGCGAATATGTACGTACAGTCATCCGAAGATGGGCGGAGTGCACGAAGCTGCAGCTATAAATAATTAGCGCGGCCTTCTTATTCTTATCTCAAACCTGTCTCAGTTTAGTTTCCGCAACAGCAAGCACTCGAGTCCTACTTTTCTGGTAACATTTAGGCGAAGTGCCAACAAATTTTCGCTCAAATTTTACCGAAAGTTCATGCAAACACGTCGTCCGGTGCGATTCCACGTGAACATTTGCACATTTTCCTAGTCTTCTAGTCTAGTCCTGGGGTCTACAAATCGCTGAACAGTCCCCCCCCACCCCCCATCTCTCTGTTCTGCTACAACCGTATGTCCCACCACGTTCCCTGAAGTCAGCGGACCAGTTGCTCCTCACAGTTCCAGGAACTCGTTTTAAGCGCAGAGGTGACAGGGCTTTCTCTGTAGCAGGACCAAGACTTTGGAACGAGTTACCTCTGCTTGTCAGACAGGCCCCCTCCCTCTCGGTTTTCAAATCCCCTTTACAAACTTACTACTATTCAGTAGCTTTCAACACCAGAGGATCTGTGTTTTGAACATCTACGCTCCACACTGGTTTGTCGTCATATTTATTATCTGCATCGATTTTATGTCTATATTTTTGATTTACTTCATTTTGTATATTGCTTCGTGTGTTGTCTGTTGTTCTGTCTGTACAGCACTTTGGTTGGCCTTGCAGCTGTTTTAAGTGCTTTATAAATAAAATGGTATGGTATGTTATGGTAGTGTCCCAACAATTGCAAGAAACTACCTTTATGTGTGAAACGTATAAGGTGACAAAAACATATATATTGTAGGACCATAACATGATGCCTTAACGCGGGGAAAAAAACAGGTAGAAAAAAGTTTCACCTTAACGCGATACGTCCTTGAACACTTCTTACATTTTAAAGGAACAAAATCATTTTAATGCAACTGGAGAGAAAACATTGAAAAAAAAATCATAAATCAGACTATTTTAGTTTAAGATGTTGGTTCTTTTAAATTACTTAGATTGGATCTGTTGCGTTTAATTCAATAAACTAAAGCTTTTAGCTGAGTTTATTTACGAAGTGTAATAAACCTTTACTGCGTTATGAACTGAATTTACAATCCTCACATATAAATTTATCGCCCATCAGTAACGGATAAAGGCTGTAATTTATCAACATCAAACGACATTCTGTGAAAAACAGGCAGTCTAGTTTATAAACATATAGAAATAAAGAAAATGACCTGTGAAGAAATGTTTGGAGTTTCTGCAGTGAAGCTGATTTGTCAGATATCTGTACGGTAAATGAAAAATCATTAATGCAAAATGAAAAACTTTTCAAAATTATTGTTATTATTAAATTAAGGCAAAACGATACTTTTTTTATTATGCAAGTCATCACTCCTTTTAAATTGAGTTCAATAACCTATAAAAGGAAAAGCAAGGCCCTTCCCAGTACAACAGCAGGAAATATAATATACACAGATGAGAGGTGCGTTGGATTTGTTCACCCTGAGGAGTGAACGCCACAACACGCACCTCTGCTTCAAGTGCCTGCTGAAAAAACAACTATACACCTCGTTGACAGATACTTCCTGGACATTATTTCCACCATATAAATTATAATTATTGTTCAATAATTTATATAAATACAGAGTTTGAGGTAATTCCCAAACAAAGCAGATTTTAACACTTCATTTAAGACTTGGGGTAGAAAATTTTGCAGAAATCAAACACTAAGCTTGAAGCTGAGTGTGTTCAGTCTGTTTTCCTTAGACACCTCGTCGGAGCCGAAGTGCGTTTGTTTGGGGTTAAGAGTCTGCAGGAGGCGGGTGGGCACTGTCTGGTTGGGTTTCAGAGGCTTGTTGCTCATCGTTCTGGTTTCTGTGTGACGTCGACTCTGGCTCGTATTCAGCCGGCAGCGGAGGGTTAGTATCCTGGCAACAAGAAGAAAGAAATAAAATGAACAATTTTACTGTTAACAGTAATTACTTATACATCTGGAAGCAAAAACTATATTTTTGGACTTCCTTCTACCTCGTATCAGCCTCTGCGCTCCTTTGTCCTGGAAATTTGATGAGTTCTGAGATTAAAAGTCTGCGTTCTACTTCCTAAATGCGTCTTGATTTCTGGACAACATCTGGACTTCCTTCTACCTAATCTCATACCTCCTCCTTGTTGCTCTTCTGTCCTGGACTTTATTGAACAAATTTTCTGCAACATTCCAGCTTGTTCTCGATGAAGACGGTCGCTTCACCCGCTCCTGCCTCCCTCCTGCTTTTTGCTCTCTTGTCCTGTGAACCTTTTTCAGAGCCTCTCTCTACATAGCATCTGAACTGTAAATCATGGATTTGTTCAGCTGGTCTAAACGCAACTGATAAAATTTTCTCGACGAGAAGACAGGGAAAAGGAGAGCCCTCATGCCCTGAAAGGACATTTGCTTCGGGATACACCTGGGGCCAGTGGAAGATGGTGCGTCTCTCTGTAATGTCCATTGAGGACGTGGAAGACGCATACATAATTGGAGTTATGATAGCAGGATTTCAGCTTTTTGGAATCAGTGGGTTTCTGGCTTATCGACAAATTCAGAAGACGTCGGCACCGGATCTGGCAATTTTGAAGCTGCCTACCATATGTGAAGGAATGTGCCACACTTCGAGCGCCCAGACTCAATTGATTTTCGAGCTAAGCTGTAAGTACCCACCCTGTTCACAATCTACATAAGTAATGTAGGTCAGATCATTCCTGATGCATCCTTACATTTTTATGCCAGTGACGCAGTTGTTTATTGTTGAGCTAGAAGAGTTGCTAAGGCTTTCCAGCTTTTACAGTCTGCATTCGACATCATTCAGTCAGATTTATTCCATCTCAAACTGGTGCTAAATGCTGATTAAACCAAAGGGATGTTGTTTTCAAACAGGAAGTTGGTAACAGCAGTTCTTCCTACTATCTTATCTACAAATGGTGTTCCCATTGAGTTTGTCGACTCTTATAAATACCAGTACTTGAGAATCTTGGTCAATGCACAGCTCTCCTTTAAGCCTCACATTGAAAAATTGGTTAAAAAAAATAAAATTAAAATTGGGTTTCTTTTTCAGAAATAAATCTTTAACTCTGAATGCTAGGAAACACCTTGCAAATGCAATTATAGTGACATTATTTACACGAATGTTCCTGCAAGCACCTTGAAGATGTTGGACACCGTCTATCACTATGCGCTAAGATTCATATCTGGGTATAACTATAGTACCCACCATTGCACCCTGTATTCACTGGTTAACTGGACATCATTACCTAATATAACAGTTATCTCAAAAATTCTAGAAAATAGTTGTAGTTCATTTGTGAAAACACCTGGAAAGAAATAATCTGTTTGAAGAGTTTCAGTCAGGTTTTAGAGCTCAACACAGCACTGAATCTGCACTGGTGAACGTTACCAATGATATTCTCATGGCCTCTGACAATGGACAGGGGTCTACACTGGTCTCGTTAGACCTCAGTGCTGCATTTGATACAGTTGATCATAATATTATATTACAGGCTTGAATATGATATTGAAATTACAGGAACAGCACTTAAATTGTTTAGATCATATTTATCTGATAGATTCCAATTTGTAAATGTAAATAATGAATCTTCTTCATATACCAAAGATAGTCATGTAGTTCCTCAGGGTTCAGTGCTTGGACCCATACTCTTTAGCTTATATATGCTTCGATTAGGTAAAGTTATTAAACAGCATGGGATAAAATTTCATTGTTATGCTGATAATACAGTTATACTTGGCCATGAAACCCAATGAATCCAATCAACTACTTAAGACTACAAGGATGTCTTAAAGACCTAAAAACATGGATGACCCTTAATTTTCTGCCTTTAAACTCAGACAAGACTAATGTTTTGGTTTTTGCACCTGAGCATTTTAGGAATACATTTTTTAGTCTTTCTCCCTCCTTGGATGACATTAATCTGGCCTCCAGTTCTAATGTTAAAATCTTGGTGTTATTTTTGATCAGGACATGTCTTTTGTCCCCCATATTAAAAACATTACTAGAACTGCCTTCTTCCACCAGCGAAATATCACTAAAATTAGAAACATTTTATTTAAAAATGATGCAGAAAAACTGGTTCATGCATTTGTCACATCTAGGCTGAACTATTTCAATGGTTTATTATCTGGGTGTCCAAATACTTCTTTAAAAAGTCTTCAGTTGATCCAAAATGCTGCTGCCAGAGTCTTAATGGGAGTTAGTAGGAGAGACCATATTTCTCTCGTTTAAGCTTTTCTCCATTGGCTTCCTGTCAAATTCAGAATAGAATTCAAAATCGTACTTCTAACTTACAAAGCACTCAACAACCTAGCTCCATCTTATATTACAGATCTTATTGTTCTATACTTTCCTAACAGGGCACTTCGCTCTCAGACGGCAGGCTTACTTGCGGTTCCTAGAGCTTCCAAAGCAGAATGTGAGGAAGATCTTTCAGTTATCAGGCTCCTCTCTTGTGGAACCAACTTCCAGTTTCTGACACATTGTCCAGTTTTAAGATTGGGCTGAAGACGTTCCTTTTTGATAAATCCTATAGTTAGGGTTGGCTTGTTATGCTGCCATAGGTTTAGACTAATGGAGGACAAATTGACCACATTTCTTAAAAGGAATTGTTAAAATTGAATCGTTTTCATTTGATATTATTTCCATCTTAACATGTGATTCTCAACCTGCCATTGTGTATCTGTTCCTCTCTAACCCAGCCAGTTGAAGCAGATGGCTGCTTGTCCTGAGCCTGGTTCTGCTGGAGGTTTCTTACACTATTACTTTAATGCTTGCTCAAGATGGGAGTCTGCGATGAAGTTAAACTCAAAGCAGTCTGCTCTTCAGATAAATAACATTATTAACTCACTTTTTATGTATATGAATGATTCTGTTCAGTGCCCTGAAATGACTTATGTTGTGACTTGGCACTATAGAAATAAACTGAATTGAAATCAGGGCACTAAAACAAACAAGTGAAATTCAATTCATTTCACTTAATAAAATACAATTTTGACTGAGAGGAACAAGGAGCTCAGTGTCCTTTGCCCAGACGTGGGTTACCGGGGGCCCCACCCTGCAGCCAGGCCTAGGGGCCAGACTCGACTGTTGTTTGTGCCTACCTGGAGGGGTGTGATTAGGAGGAATGGCCTCTCTGATCTGAGCTTGAGCTATGTTCTGTTGTTGGACTTCTGTGCTAGTCAGTTTGTCCATCACGAACACCATGCTCAAATATAAGGGTGACCATATCTGCACATGGCACCAGGACACCCTAGGCCTCAGATCAATGACAGACTTAGTAGTCATGTCATCTAATCTGCAGCTGTATGTTTTGGACATTTGGGTGAAGTGAGGGACTGAGCTATCAACTGATCATCACCTGGTGGTGAGTTGGATCAGATGGTGGGGTAAGATGCCGAAAAGACCTGGTAGACTCAAATGTGTAGTGAGGGTTTGCTGGGAATACTTGGCAAATGAAACCATTATAAGAATCCTCAATTTAAATTGTTGAGGCGGTTGCCTTGAACTGTGGCCACAAAGTTATTGGTGCTTCTTGCGGCAGCTATCCTCAAACCCAGTGGTACACATCCCGGGTGAGAGAGGCCATCAAACTGATGGAGGAGACATATAGGGCCTTGTTGTGTGGTAGGACACAGGAGGCAGCTGAGGGGTACTGGCTGGCAAGCTGCAGCCCTGGCTGTTGCTGAGGCCAAAGCTCGGATGTGTGAGGAGTTCGGTGAGGCCTTGGATAGACTCTCGGTCAGCTCCGAGGAGACTCTGGCAAACCATAAGGCTGAGGTGGGGAAACCAGCACTTTCCAAACGTAGTGTAGAGTTGAGGTGTGGTGCTGTTGACCTCAACCAGTGATGTTGTCGAGCAGTGGACGGAACACTTCTCGGACCTTCTGAATCCCACCAGCACATCTTCAACGAAGGACTTGTGGGTTGGCCCGTCCATAACGAGGGCTGAGGTCACCAAGGTAGTTAAAAAAGCTCAACAGTGGCAGGGCTCTAAGGTGGATAAGATCCACCCTAAGTTCCTCAAGGCTCTGGATATTGCTGAGCTGACTTGGTTCACAGGCCTTTGCAACATTGTGTAGACACTGGGGGCAGTGCCACTGGACTGGCAGACTAGGGTGGTTCTACTTTTTTAAGTTAAAAAGTGGGACCAGAGGGTGTGTTCCAATTATAGCAGCATCATAATCATTAGCCTGCCCGGTAAGGTCTATTCAGGGGTACTGTAGAAATGAATCAGATCGATAGCCAAACCTCAGATTCAGGAGGAACAATGTAGATTCAATCCCTGCTGCAGAACACTAGACCAACTCTTCACCCTCACTAGGGTCCTCGATGGGACATGGGAGTTTGCCCATTAAGTTTACATGTGTTATGTGGACTTGGAGAAGTCATTGAACGATGTCCCTTGAGGTACATCATAGGAATGTATAATATTGTGGGTCCGTTGCTACAGGTCATTCAGTCCCTATACAAGCGGTGCAAAGAGTTTGTTTACGGCAGTAAGTCAGACCCATTCAGGGTTACAGACTTGGAGAAGAGCCGCTACTTCTCCAAATCAAAAGGAGCCAGTTGAGGTGATTGGGGAACCTGGTAAGGATGCCCCCTGAACACACCCCTACGTAAGTTTTATGTGCATGTCAGAGGTGACCCACTAGAGAAACCATGTTTCTTGGCTGATCTGGGCCTCCCAGAAAAGCTGGAAGAGAAGCCTGGGCCTCCCTGCTTAAGCTGCTACCCTGTGACCCAATCCCGGAACAAGCGGAAGGTAATGGATTGACAAATAATTGATTTCAATGCATCCCGATTCCAGTAAGACCAAATTAATTTATTTAATCCATATAATTTTAATACAGCCAGGTGTATTTGTATTCTGTCCAATTCATTACACTT